GTGTTAATGTGGTGTGGCAACCTGAACTTATGTACATACGTACAAAGTTCTACGTTGCAACTGACTAACTGTCGACATGTCCATACTGAATCGATTTCCAAGTGTGAGCTTTTCTAAAGTTGATATCTTTCATAAGTTTGTTGTAGACACTGAACAAATTTCAATATTATGAAATGGAACCTACATAGTTTGATCAGTAACTTTAATCTAAATCATGACAGTAAAGTTAAATCATAAAAAATAAATTTCTTATAGTCAGCACAAATTGTGATAAAACAGAACACTTATTCAGAATTTTGTGCACAAAAATTTATACTCACGAGACATGCGTTGAAAAAAAAAACTGAAACCAACTCAAAATGAAAGCAATCGATACCTAGTGAATTTATCACGCTAGATAAAATTTAACTGGTTAATTAAAATAGGTTAAATCAATTGTTGAATAAAAAAAAAAGGATACTGAATACTTCATTGGTAACTTCTAAATTCCACATATTAATCCTTAGTGGGTCGGCGGAGAAGAAAGTTTCACGATCAGCTGAAGGTGATAAACCAACAATTGAAAAACCATGGGCACGAGCATACACTTTTTTATTCTGTACACGTATATTTGTATTTTCATAATTCTTTAAACAAACAGGCACTTTGATATCGGATAATGACCGGATAACAACTTTACGTCGGCAACCGCATTCAACAGGAAAATTCAAATTTGTAAATGATTGTGTCGGGAGTTCAGTTAATTGCCAAAGTTTTATAGTACGTTCTGTAAAAATAGCATCAATCAGATTAAAAACTTTTGGATTTGAATAGAACTTGGGAAAAAAAAATCAGGTAATAGTAAGCTTGAAAACAAGTTTTCACAGTGAATATGCATTTGTACCAAATTTTTATTCAATGAATCAGTCAGTCAGTCAGTCAGTCCGTTACAACGTAGAACTTCGTACATGCGTACATCAGTTCAGGTTGCCATACCGCATTAGCACAGAGACGCAACTTTCAGTTCAAATCCTGTAGTGGAAGAGTTAGCAGTAATGGAGATAAGTATAGTTCAGTGAGATAACTTTAGAAATAAGAAGATAGAGATGATGAGGAATTTGAAAGGTTAGAATTTGAGAAAACTGCCTACTGGGATACAGTCAGTCAGTCAGAGTCAGATGCAACGTAGAACTTCGTACGTAAGTACATCAGTTCATGTCGCCATACCACATCAGCACAGAGATGTAATTGTCAATTCAAATCCAATAGTAGAAGAGATAGTAAAGGTATTAGCAGAAATCGGAGAGGTTAGGAATAGAAGATATTATTCAAGAAGTATGATTCAGTGAGAAAAGTTTAGAAAGTCAAAACTAGAGGTGTTGAAGAATCCAGAAGATTAGGATTTGAGAGAACACAAAGAATGGATGCACTTGCGCCACTGCAAACGATTCCGAGCCATGTCGTTGAAGGTCTCTAACCATTGCTGACTTTCGTCTCGCGCACCACAACCAGGTAGTCGACAATTACCGACATGGCTAAGTCCACTTGTCAATGACTTCATGGATTTCTGCTATGTTTTGGTCTGACCGCCCCTAACTTTCTTTCAACCTATTCCTACACTACAAAACATAGCTCGTCGAGGCAGTCGGTGGTTGAGCATACGTAACACATGTCCCAACCACCTCAACTGATGAAGTGTCACTACTTCAATGAATCAGTTATTTTATTGAAGTAAATAAGTTAAGGATAATCCTTCAGATACAAGTCATAGTTTAAACTAGTGGTCGATTGAGCGAAATTATTGGGACTTATAATTATTCATAAGGATTTGTTTTTTTTTATCATTAATCTTCAAAGCTGTAATTTAACTGGGTTTGAGTCAGTGTAAACAGTTGCACCAGGATACATTTGGCCGACTAGTTCCAAACAAGTGTCTGGATTCTACTGCTAGGTAAAATAGTCTAACTCAGAGTTCAAATATCAAGTAGCTATTACAGACAGGGAGCAAAATTGTTCCTAAGTGATTGATATGGATTGATCGTTTTTCATAAAAACTTAACTAACTATGCGAAGCACTCCCTTATAAACAACCAATGACAATGTACATTGCAGCTAGTCAGGGGAATATAAGTTGATCTGATAAAACACACTTATGCACAAAACAATAACACAAAAACAAACATACTTGCAAATCATCTAAAACAGATATCTGATTCTAATAATCTTACGAAAGTACTTTACATTGATGACTTGTTGGATCGTACAAGGATAATGCGTCAAACGATCAAGTGAATATGGTAGAATTTGTACTTCTACACCACGATAAAGTTGCTCATAAGGTCAAGGTGTTTCACAACAATAAGCTTAACCAAATCCTCTTGTTTTTATCTATTAGTATTCATGGTTAATAAATAAGGTCACTAACCAATTCGTGTCCAAGTTGTATTTTCCCCCCATCAGTTAGTTGCAACGTAGAACTTCGTACGTAAGTACATCAGTTCACGTCGCTATACCACATTAGCACAAAGACTCAGATGTCAAATCAAATCCCATAGTCATAAAGATAGTAGAGGTATTAATGGTAATGAAGAAGAATAGGGTTCGAAGATATTATTCAAGAAGTATAATTCAGTGAGTGAGATAAGGTTAGAAAGACAAAGGTAAAGGTGTTGACGAATCCAGAAGATTAGGATTTGAGAGAACACAAATAGTGGATGTACTTGCGCCATTGCAAACGATTTCGAGCCATGTCGTTCAAGGTCTCTAACCATTGGTGACTTTCGTCTCGCGCACCACAACCAGATAGTCTACATCTACCAACATGACTCAGTTCACTTGTCAGTGATTTCATGGATTTCTGCCATGTTTTGGTTTGACCGCCCCTAGCTTTCTTCCAGCCTACTACTACACCACAAAACATAGCTCGTCGAGGCAGTCGGTGGTTAGGCATACGTAACACATGTCCCAAACACCTCAACTGATGAGGTTTCACCACTTCATCTATTTTCCCCAATGGTATTCTGTTAGTGAAAGATTTTTAGGAACTAATTACTCATTGCTTGACATGAGCTTGCATTGAGGGATACTGACTTTTACTAACTATTCTTATAATGGCAAATATCAAATATGAAAACATAAATATCATTACAATAAGGATTTTCAATAACTTTGAAATATAAAAGTCATCGACATTGATTGTGATATTCAATGTGATTATTGAACCTTTTAGCTTGCTAGCTACCAGGTTTCTAGTTTGATTAACATTTATTTACTAGTTATGCTGGTGAACATGACTTTGATTTTGGTGATAGAATCTGATGAGTATTACCAGTGAGTTTTTCCTTGGATCTTTATCTTTATACTAGCATTAATTTCCTTTGGGGATTACTGACAAATAGCATTTTCATTAAACGATCGAATATTCATAACGAATTATTTCACCGGTTCATTACATAGCCGATTTAGAAGCTCAATTACCTCAGAAAAGTCTTGCGACGCAGTGGTCACATGAATGACTGTAAGATTACATTGTGAATACTCGAAATAACTATAAAGATTGAAAAGACCATTTTTAGGGATATAAGCAGAATGTTAGAGTGATTCAGAACAACTAACTGAGACACCTAATTAAATAGCCGCAGCCACAGAGAAAATGAACCAGTAATTCAAAACAATTATTTCCGTTATCACATTACTAGAAAGCTCAAACTTACCATTGGAAGATAACAGGAAGTGTGAAAGCCCAGATCTTGGGAGCCAGCGTATAAGATTGATCTTCTCCTCTATTGCCTGAGATTTCAGACAATCAAACTCTGGTTCATGGCTTAGGAAAACCTGGTAGGGTTTTGAACAGGAATGACAATGGTGTGTTAATTCAGAGAGATCCTATTTCTAGCATTATCATCAAAAATCTACATCTACAAACCGCTTGGCCGATTTCAATAATACTAACAATTCCATCAGCATTTCCATAAGCTAGATGTGTCCCTTCTTTGTTGAACTCAATTACTGAAATGGCTGCAAAAGAATTTAGCAATAGTAATATATACGTACGTCCTGAACCCTCGATTCTTCTAAGGATTTCGTTGCAATACCATTTGAGTCGCCCTATCGTGGAGACAACGTGATGATGAGAGACCAACTTAACAACATACCAGATTTGGCCAGAGAATCGTCAGACTGAGTGGCATATTGCCCAATCGGGCTTTGCATGTCCAAAAGTTGCGCAACATTCAACACGTGCGCGAAATCCGTTCGAACTTCAGCTTACAGTTATAAAGGTGGGAGGTCAATCGACCTGTTTTACTCCTTGCAATTCGTAACTGTGTGAAGATCCCATTTCATTTAAAACATTACAATGAAGGATGCTGATATTAAGTGTTATGGTAGGGAATTCTATTAATTTTATACTCGAAGAGAGAAACTGAACTCAAGACATGAATGATTCGATCTAGGTTTTTAAACACCTAAAAATTCTTCTCGGATGATCAGCCGTAGACAAATGTAGCACATAAGCTGTATAATGTGAAATTCATTTTTCAGGATACGGTAAGTCAGCATTATATCACCTTGTAACGTATCACCTTTTATCGCAAGAAAACGGAAATGCGTTGAGGCATCTCAGTCTATTTACGTAAGATAAATCAGTGAGACATTCTCCTAGCACTGGCCCCTTTTCCTCAAACTCATTCAAGCATTTAAACGTCGTATCTGAAACAAGAACTCACTGCTAGAATCCAATATCCTGAATGTGGACTCATCCTAATCATTTCATCCAAGTAGTGAAATCGTTTACGTGCAATTAAGGTTGTTACTTATCATGAATTCCAGATCTTTAAAGTCCATTACGTTAGGAAACATCATTTTAATTATCGTGCAGTCACATAAATCACCTCAGTTATTTATATACCACACTAAACTTTTGCTAGGACCAACTTCCACTGACCACCTAGTGGAATTGGAGTGTATGAATCTCCAAACTTCGGTGTTATTGGCAAACAGCAGAGCAGATGACTTTCTGACAGTCAGAAAATCACTTACATTTAGTATTAACAGAAGAGGGGCAAAGATTGTATCATAAGGACTTGTTTGCAGGTACTTGCCGTTTCCTATCACAGAGGAAGTCACTTTCTGATCGCACGTTGAATCTCAAAACCTATCGTAAATTCAAGACATTTCTTAGACCTTGTCAAAGGCCCTACTTATGAGATATATATACTGAAATATGACTGTCTTGTGCTGCAGCCCTATCTTTTCGTGTATTGAGTTAATTTGTGAAACATGAAAGGCTACTCCTAAAGCCATGTTGTTCTCTGGCTAAAGGATTATTCCCTTCAATATGTCCTACTAATCTATTAGATTAGCTTTATGGCTAAAAGGCCGATAGTTGCGTACTGATTCTCTAATCCCAACTTTAAAAGCCAGACTGATAATAATATCTCTCTAATCTAATGGCAGTTTAGATTGCTCCAGAGACATCAGGCATCAGTGCAAGGGGTTCGAGAACTGTGTCCGCCACAGCATTTTATGATCACAAAATTGACAAAGTCAGGACCACTAGACTAACCTGGTTTGAGATGATGGAGTATTAGTAGGACAATTTCCTTCTCACTAATCAGAGAACTCACAGTCATTATAATATCATGTTTCTAGTGGTGGTTTGTTATTGATCGATTAATGATTTGAATGAAACCCAGAGATTTCCAAAAACCAATAGTGAAGATGACCATCAGACTGAAAAACAAGGGAAAGGGCTTTTTATGCAATTAGCTATGTACATTAGGACCTCAACCGGTTTACTTCATCTATTCCTATAACTTCTAAGTTTAGTGTAGCTCCGTAAATCAGAAGTGACATCAGAGTTACAGAATGGCGAAATTTCGGTCACAGCTATGATGGGTAGCTCTAATTCTGTAACGCACTCGATATGCTTGAACTATTATGGGTTGACCTTAGTCGGAAAACGAGAGCGAGGATCGAGAATCCGGCGATACTACAGGCTACTGTAATCCGATTATCTCAACCCCCCACCCATTGAGTAAAAGAAGAAGACTTGATATGAAGTAGAAAATATATTCTACAACCATCCAAAAAGTATGAAGTCCGAGTCAAGAAGAGAATCAGGGTTCCGAACTAGGGATCCGGGTTCGGGTCATAAAACGTAACAGATAATGCGTATTTATACAGTTAGGTCGAATAGGAAACAACGTTGAAGTCTGTGACATTGGCAGTTAGGACGACCAATAGGAACTGGCCAATAGAATTAGACTTAGAAACAACTATCTCAGGATATTGGTTGAATATCCCAACAAATCTGTCCAATAATACCCTAGTTCATGGTATCTATTTCTCCGACTTCTGGCATTTGTATATGAAACTCCTTAAGAGAACGACCAATCTTTACACGTCTTGGTAGCATACGCTTACTAGTTAGGCGTAGGCCGCCCTCCTTTTTATTCTGTTTTTCAAAGATATATTACGTATGCTGAGAATAACCGATTAATAAGATCTTTATGGTCTGTGAACATATACAATAGTCATATTAGTGGTATATTCGCTCGACGGCTGATCGAGTGAAAATGGCGAGTGTTCGAACATCAGTGGATTTTAGAGCGGCAATTGGTGTGACACATGAGTTCAGAATGAATCAGTGAAGGGAAAATCAATGTTAAATTAAAAAAGTTCACGGTCAGTCGCACTGAGTGTACAAATGAAGAAAAATCATAAGAACTGTGAAAAATAACAGGGGTTCTTCACAATACAATCCTATATTAAACACCGCATAGCACTTCACAGTGTCCGAAGTTAACAATGGCACGTAAAAACTGAGTTGTACGATATGCATAAGACCCATTAGATGGGCGGTACACAATGCTATTTTACAAATACAGTGTGCAAAAATAAATTTTTTCATTCTTTTTTACTGTCTACTGCTTCACTCGAACGTGCGGATAACGTACGATTGTTAAATGGTTGTTTTCTTCTCTGTCTATTCATCGTCATGGGCAGTCGAGTCTGTCTGCCTAAAATGACATTTTTTAATTCTTGCTGATCTTCCAGGAAGGCAAGTTTCACTATATCCATCAAGATAGTTTATTCCCTTCTATTTATAGTGAGATCGAAACTACTATTCGCCAGATTACCAAGTAAAATCCCGTTGGATCCAAAAATCAGAAGACAATAACTGGATGAAGGGATGTATTGATTCGTGGTCTCATGATATCGAAATAATATCAAGACGGGAAAAAAGAAGCAGCTAATAACCACTGTAGATGGATTTTCTACCGTAGCGGTTCAATTTGTTTGCTCGAGATAATATAAACTCAGTAAGTTCAGTGAAGGTAGGTGTAAATGAATTTCTACAGTGGCCGTTCCAATGGGTTCCAATAGGGGCACTCCTGTACGATTCTCCCAGTCCCGGGTCCCAACCAAATCAAAAAGGACAAAAATTCTAGGAGAAAGCGTCTTATTTAAATAAAAACATGGAAATACAAAGCATTACCTGGAAATAATGCCTCTTCCAGGATTCAATTACTCCGAAGAGTATCAGAAACAGTGTTAGATAAGTGACGCTAAGTTCAGCGGCCACTGCATCAATCCAAATATGACTGTAGCCATATTAAAGATCAAATTTAAACAACATATATACAGATCAGAAGCAAACACAAAAACTTCAAT